CCCCCCCAGTAGCTCACAAAAATCAGAGTTTTACCTGGAAGTGCAGCGGTAAAGCAGCCTCCCTTGAGATGATTTCACCACCTTTCTTTGGCCAGCAAATCAAGACCAGTCTGTCCCCTCTCCTTTATGGGAATGGCGGTTGGTGTAAGTGCTCAAACCCTGTTCAGAAGGAAGCAAGCACTTTTCTTCCTATTCCCTGAATGGAGAGGAGTGCAGCTAAGGGGTTTGCATGCTGGGATCGCAGTCTGCTTTTGGGGTGCAGCATTGGGAGCCGTAACAAGTTAGGGACCATTTTGATATTGTACCGGATCTCAGCAAGTGGGAGGCAAGCGATGTTTCAGATTTATGCTCCAGTGAATTTTAAACGAATAAAATTATTTTTGCAACAAAGAAAACCCCATTGCTTAAAAATGAGCTCTTTCTAATCATGGCACACTTTGTTCAAATTACTTCTGCATCCCCCATCTGACCCTACCAGGTTTCAGCCCCCCTTTGACTTTTAGTTAATTTCAAGAACGATGTAAAAGTCTGATTTAAACTTAATTGTATCCTTGTCTGCAGAGCAATTAGTTGCACCGTTGACCCAGCTGAGTCTAATACTCCCCCCCAGCAACTACTGTAAACTTTGTGCAAGTTATTTCCAAAGCTCTAGCACAGTTCCTGGTTTAAGGAGGTCAGTGTATTGTCAGTCCATGGTATGGGTTTGTTTATTGAAAGCATAACACTGGAAAAAATAACTATCCAGGAAAGTAGCTAATTTCCATGCTCCATTCCTAACATATCAGCTATTTTGCTATATTTTTTCACTGTGAAAAATGTCCTAGTGATTGTTATTGTGAGCTTCACGCGAGAACATTTAGTTGAGGTTTTTGCAGAGAAGTGACTGAGGAGGTGGGTTTTGTTCATGAAAGCTCATGATGCTATATATGTTTTTGGTAGTTTCTAAGGTGCCTCATTCCTGTGGCTACGTCTGCATTGGCATGATTTTGCGCAAGAACTCTTTTGCAGAAGAGTTCTTGTGCAAAAACTCTTCCAGAAAAGAGCGTCTACACTGGCATGTGCCTTTGCGCAAGAGCATCCGTGCCAGTGTAGACGCTCTTGCGCAAAAAAGCTCTAATGGCCATTTTAACCATAGGGCTTTCTTGCGCAAGAAGCACTGATTTCATACATTAGAACGTCCGTGTTCTTGTGCAAGAACTCGCGGCCATAGTGGGCGCTGTCTGGGGTTCTCTGCTCGGTATCCCCATCCGGTTCCCTGGTTTTAACCCTTTGACCCTCACACCCATATCTGTTTTTCCATTATTTGTCCCCAGTAATTAGTTGGTTTTTCCAGGTTCTGTGGATCCTCCCTGCAGGCTGGGGGGCGGTCCTTTAGATGTGGGTGGGCTAATGCCCGCCCACCTCCTGGACACCAAATAGTCTGTGTTTTTAAAAAAAAAAAAAAACCACAACTTGCGGCCAGGGTAGACAGGCAGCAAGTTTTGGCGCAAGAGTGGCTGCTTTTGTGCAAGATCGCACCAGTATAGACATAGCCAGACAGTATAGTTAATCCACATCCCCAAGAGGTGGCAGCTATGTTGATTGGAGACACTTTCTCACAGACATAGTGCTGTCTATGCAGAGGGTTAGGTGGTATAACTGCATTGTTCTGGAATATGATTTCCCCTGAGATGTTAGACTGGCATGGGACTGTAGCATAGGGTCTGACCTAAATGTGTTAAAAGGGACCTTTCCACATGAGAGACTAAAAAAAGCACATGTCCAGCTTCTTCAGGCTACTTACACAATGACTTTGCACTGTATCACTTCTACAGACACAGCTATTTGACAATGAATTGAGGGATTGAATAGCCTACTGTGGACACTGAAAACTTAACACAGCATTCATCCTTTAAGGGCCTTTAAACACTCATAAAATACATGGTGTTGAGGGCATGGGACAGGCATTGCAGCCTGTATTTGAAGTGACTTGCCCCAGATCTTCAACTACTGAGTTTGCTTGTCCTGCTGGAGGCAGACAGATATGTATTTCTGTTAATAAAAATTTACATGCAAAGTCTTTCATAGTTGTACAGCCTCTTATGCAAGCGAACAAGAGCAATTGTTAGCTGACCTTCATGAAGGAAAGTTGGGGCTTAAAGCAGTGGCCTGATGAAGGTCTAAGCCTCTATAATGCTAAAAATGCATAGCTGTTTTTTTGTTAATGAATCAAAACCACTGAAAGCTTTTTGTTAATGTAATATCTTACACTTTTATTAAAAAATCAATTTCTCTTGCTAGAATGTAAGTTACTTTCTCAAGTATGAATGTCGAGGCAAATGAGAGACCTGTAACTTTACATTTTGAAAGGCAGGCTTTAACTCTTTAGAGACACCACCCAAAAATTGCCAGCTGACCAGATGCACTGAGCATACACTCAGTCTTCAGCTGGGCATAGGTGACATTTCTGAAAGCCAGGTTCTAGTACACACCCCTGTCTCAGGAATAGTTTTACACAAAACTTTTGTGCACCCGTCTAATTGTTATGGGTTAAGTTTGAGGTTAGCTAATGACTGGTCTTCAAAAAAAAAAAAAAAAAAAGGAGGGGGGTGGATAATTGTAGGCTACTGTCACCAGTCAGCATGTGACAACATTTTCCTCATCTCTCCTTTCACACACCTGAACAATCAATACTGTAGAACCTCCCTTCTCACTGAGAGATGTTCAGGAGGCATTAAAAATACAATTTCTAGATAAAATGTTAAATCCACTGAGAGCCATGAGTTAATCCCAGATTAAGAAACTAGACTATTTGAAACCCCATTTGCACAGAAAAAGTTCTTCAAACAGTATTTGAGTCAGTCCTAGAAAACAAATAGAGGAAAATTGGACCACTTGTGATTTAAAAGTACAGGACGTTCTAAGAACTGCATCTCATATTCGTTCAGTGCTGCTAGCAGAGAAGTCTGTCTGCAGTGGAGTGATGTTATGGTCGTAGGCGGCATATTCCGAGGTCCCATTACTTGCTGCTTTGAGTTGTTGAGCAGCATGGGTAAGCTGAAATGCTGCATCGGGATGAGCAGTATCAGGCAGCAGGGTGCACTCCCTTTCCAGCATATCCGCCACTCCTTTCAAAAGGTCCAAAAACCCAAAAGCCAAGGCTGCCTTTCGTAAACGGTTGAGTTCCTAGAAGGGAGAAAAGCTCCATTTAAAGCCCTCTTGAGTCTTCTGAAAGGCTATTTTATTCATTGCAAGTTTGTTCTCGTAGGAGAGAGATACAAGGAGGCTCACGCTACAGTTCTAGCAAGCTTCCCAATGGCGAGCCACATCCGAGTGAATTCTAGTGCTGGTGCCAGCTGGGAGACAGCAGGTACAGCACACCAGTGTGTTAGCTTTCCCATAATACCCTCCCAGCTCTGGCGGACAGCCCTCCCCCTGACAGAAGGATGTGCTTTGTCATCTGCTCTGTTTCAGCCACTCTGTCCAGCAGATGGTACAATGTGCGTTTACACAGCACACACCAGACCCCTGGCTGGGGCACTGAGGGGGTTTGTCACTGCTCGGGCTGAGAAGGATTATGATGATTGTACCACTCTAAACCAGACTAGTAGCTAACTATATCTAGCTTTCTGGATTTCTTGCCCTCTCCAAATCAGAGGTGGAAAACACAGTCACAGTGTCCAAGCATAGATTTGTGCTACCATTTCCATCTGTGCTCTTTGATCCTTCGCTACTCATAGTACCTGCTACTAAAGCAGCCCCTCATTTCTGCCTAGGAGGCAGGATAAGCGGGGGGTCTCCTGCTGCTCTCCAGTTCATTGCGGAGTCCAGCTGGCAAGGGGTGTTAGAAGTGCACTCCATTTCTGCCTTGCCCACATGGCGATATGTACACCACCTCTGGGATACGAGCACAAGCAGCTGAGATTACAAAGGGTCACTGGCTCTCAAACCGAGGTCTCCCACCATTGAACCCAATATGCTGTCCTGTCAGAGAAGCTTAGATCAGAGGATTCCGGGCTACAACTTTGCCAATCTGTATAATGGGCCCAGCAGCTACCTTCCTCACAAGGGTGGCTCAGAATTCAAGTTTGCAAAGCAGTACAAGCAGAGAATCATTAACTTCAATGTTCATCACTCTCTATAGCTCAAACACGCATCATTACAGTCACATGTTACATGCAAACCCATAGCATGTTACTCACTTTATAGAATGTTTGAGTTTTTTCAGGGAGCTTCCTTGCATTTCTCAAGATCTTCTGTACATCCGTCTGAAAAAAAAAAACACTTTTGGGGAAGGCTGCAGGAAAGAATCCCTAACTGTACAGCTCAATCACTCCCATAAGCTCAGTAATTAGTCATTAGTTACGCAGGTCATACCAGCAAAGACACTAACTAGTTGCCAGGCAAAGCTTTCGTTAAATAAACTATATGTGCCAGAATATGTTAATCATGACACTTCAAACAGGAAACTAATACGAATGAAAGAATTACACTTGATGGAAGTGACACGTACAGAGACCATTCTACTGGCTAAGTAAGAGCCTCCCTTTCAAGGCCCTGACGCTGACCTGTGCCAGAACACCAAGACTCAACACTGAGTTACCTGAAGGCCACTTGGTTTGATCCACACAGTGACATTCTGTGCATAACTACGCTTGTTTTTGGGTTGTAAAGGGAAAGGGCTCTTATTGTCGTCTTCACCATAAGGATTTTCTTTAGCATCTGAAAGAAAATAAAGCTTTTCAAGAATAAGACGCAGCAAAGGTATTAACCCAGAAAACATCAAATGCACGAGAAACTTTAAAATCCGTTTGGTTACTACCTGAAATAGGCCCAAGCTGTGCCATTTTCCCGAGCCAAGGCAGGGGCTCAGGACCAGGTTCAAAAAGAGACATCATGAGGTTTGATTTCTTCTTACTATCGGCTTGGGAATACAGCATCCCATGCCATTCAGGCCTAAAGAAAAGAGCAGACTGCTAAGGTTGAAAACTGCCCGTTCTTCACACCTAAAATTCACCTCCCACCCTTGCTACTGGGGAGCCCTGGGTTTCATTATTGGCACGTTATTTATACCACTCCAATGCAGAATCACAGTAAGACACACATTCTTATCAAGCTCCCCGGGGCTTGCAGCATGATGTGCAGTGTTTCCTAAAGGACTGGGCCTAAAACACCACCCAAAAGGATGCTGCGAAGGGAAATGCGCTTCCATACCCGAACTGAACAATGGCCACCATGCCTTCCACTTTTAGGCTCCCATGCAGTAGCACACAGAAGTTGGGTATTTTCCCAGCAATCTGATTAGCTGAATTCTCATCCTCAGTGTCGTCAGTGATCCCCGGACCCACCTCGTCACCTTCTGTGCAAAAAAACAACAAAAATAAGAGGGAGTCACACTCACTAGCACCGCTTTGTTTTCTGTCATGCTCGTCATCTTACAGTCTGCCAGGCAAGTCACCCCAAAACAACCACCAAAGCAAACCACCCGACAGGGCAGTTCGACAGAGCAAACTTCCGCACACAGCCCCTTCTCCTCTCTTTAGGAAGGCGCCATGGCCCCCTAGGCACTTAGAAAATGTAAGGAACCAGAATGCTGTGGTTCTGGACGGCGTCAGCCTCCTGTCTGACAAGCCTGATCTTTTGCATTAAGCCTCTGGCACAGTGGTGCCAACAGATCAAGCAAGATTCCGGGGCATGCAGGTGATGTGGTTAAAGAGGCACCGCCTGGCATATTTTGCTAGTGTGGGATTTTTCCAGGTTTTGTATTGGTTATTCCTTTACACAGCAAGCCTCTGTGCGTGAGCCTCCAAAACATTAAAAATGGTGAGGGGTTAATTTAATTGAATGGAAGCTTGGGGCTGTCGGCCCCACGGAGCTGACAGCTCATGACCCTCATGTAACCACCTTGTGACCACATGAGGAGTCACGACCCCCAGTCTGAAAACCCCGTGTCTGCCCTACTCCCACAGCTGCCTTGAAGAGTTGTTCTCACCCCAGTTCAAGTGACCCCTCACCTTTGGGAAAACCAGAGTAAAATACACGATTCCCACACTGAGTTGGCTGCAAGTGACCCTTGTTAAGGGAACCCTTAACCCCTCCCTTCGGAGGATTCTTTTCTGTCACGAGCAACTTACTGAATTTTAGGAGCTGAAAAATGGCTCTGCTTTAGTCGTCAGCATGAGGTTCCCACAGGGAGAAAGGGTGAGGCACAAAGGAGTGTGAATACATAGAGCCATAACCCACTAACTGCACGTTTGGTCCTTTCAGCTGTCCCCAACAGAAACCTCATGGTATTGCCTCTGCTCCACCTAGGAAGCATATCTAGGAACTACACTGAAAGGGCAGTAGAGGCTCTTTTGAACGGCACCACAAGCACACAGCATAGACAGACAATGCAAAAGCTTGAGATTTACCTAACCTTCCTTACTACTTAACCAGCCATCCACATACAAATGTTAACAGAGGTGAGCAGTAGCTAGTGTTCCTGAGCAACAAAGGAGAAATCAAAGCACAAATACTGAGCTCTGTAGGGAGACAAGGTGGGTGAGGTTATATCTTGTTGGACAAACTTGCGTTGGTGAGAGACAAACTTGCATGTGGCACGAAAGCTTGTCTCTCTCCCCAAGAGAAACGGGCCCAATAAAACATTACCTCTCCTATCTCATCTCTCTAGTAGCCTAGGACCAATAGCGATTCAACTACACTGCAGACAAGCTCTGTTCTGAAGACTGTTCTACAAAACTACAACCATTACAAGCAGATAAAAGATGCATTAAACTAGCGGAGGGGAACCTTTTCTTGGGCCAGGGGCTGCTGACAGAAACATCAGCTGGGGGGGGCACACAAAAGTGAGAAACAAATCCACCCTCACTGACATGGCCCCTGACTAAGAAAAAGAGAGACACTCCTCACATTCCCCTCACACACCAGAGCTATGTGGTGGTGGTGGGGGGAGGGGAGAGGGCAGACTAATAGATTTTGTGTGCTCCAGCTCCCAGGGAGATGGTGGTGGGGTTGGAGCACCAGCACTGTCTTGCCAGGGCTGGAGGGAACCCAGAGCCCCGGGGGCCAGATCGAGGCAAACCAGAGGCTGCGTCCAGCCCCTGGGCCTTATGTTCCCCACCCCTGCATTAAACATGCTGCTTTATTCTTGGTCTGAAATTATTCTAACTCTAAGTTCAGACAGTTCTATTTATGAAGTCACGGAAGAGACACGGTCTCATTTATTAACTATGCTGTTTCAGGTACAGATGCACTTATAAGAATTTTTTTTTTTTTTTAAAGATAAAGAACTTGTGTTTAAAACTTTAATTTTAATGGGATCATCAAAATGTGTTCTAATGGCCCGGGTCTTGTCCTTTAAGAGAACTTTGTATCATCTGGCTCTAATCTACCACCAGCATTCTTGCAAAACCTCATCAATTCCAAACAGCGCAATAATGCACGATTATAAACAAAAACAGCTCACCTTTGTTGAGTGCAATGGGCAGTACCAAGTGTCTGGATAATACGGGAGGGCTAGAAATATCAGCTATATCTATAAAACCAACAATTTCTAGATCTGCAAAGAAACAAACAGTCTCATGTCAGCCCTGGAAATAGCCGAGAATATATTCATGTTAAATTTAACATCAAAATAGGAACATTCTTCCGTAGACGGTAAGCTTTTTGAAGCATGGAGTCTATATATCTATAGCACTTCGCAAATATAGGTGCCACTGTAATACAAATATTTACTATATAATAATGAGCAATGTTAAAATGGGCAGCTGAAAAGCAGCTACAACAGACAGAAGCTGATGTATCTGAGAAACATGCTGCTATACACCATGCTTTTGTTCACTGGAGCCCCACACTTTGCCCATAAGACAGTCATCTTTAGGAACAAAGGGGCAGACTATCTGCCCTCATCCACGCCTCTGCATTGCTCATGTGGCACAAATCCCCACCTGGGACAGTCCCAGTGTGGAGAGGCCTTAGCAGGCAGCCTACCTCTAAGACACACAGCCAGAACTCTCAGTCCAGGGGCGCATCTGTGGCTGCACCCATCCAGCTTTGGTCTGTTTCATTGGCCCAACTGGTCTTCCAGTTGGAGTGGTGCCTGGATTTCATCAGGCTGTATGTGGACAGCCCGAATCTCAGCTGGATTATGTGCTACTGCCCTAGTCCCAACCAGCCCCTCTGCAGAAGGATTGCAAGAGAGCCTATGGAAAACAGCTCACACATGTCTGTACAGAGGCCAAAACAGGGTGATGCTCCCAGATGTTGCTGGCCACTGAAATGTTACTGGAGACTGACTTCCAGTCTCTTTGGGTCAGAGAGAAGCAGGGGGGGAGGGAGAACAGTCACTGTGCGGGGCAAGGAATGTCAATAGAAAAGTTAACATGACTCACGGTTAAAAAATAAACAAACACTGGTTACCTGTATTAATAGCTTTGGGGATGGGATCTATTTCCTCATCTATAATGAAAGGTTCTGGTCTGGGAAATACTTGCACATCAGATGTTAAGTGGCCACATTTGAGAACCGCATGGAATGGTGTATAAGCCAGGTCTATTAGTTTTCTAGAACATGATCATTTATTATTAGGGAGAAAGTAATACAAATCAGTTGAAAATAAGTTATGTACGTGTATTTAAGTGCATTATACCGAGCTCCCAAAACAGGTTATTTTAAAAAAACTAGAGTTAACTCAGTAGTTCTAGCATTGCCAAATTATGAAATGCTATGACTCATTACAGAGACAAGGTAGGTGAGGTAATACTCAATAACAGATATTGCCCTCCCCACCTTGTCTAATATCCTGAAGCCAGCATGGCTACAACACTGCGCATATGATACATTAAGACATTTATGACAAATTAATAGCAGTTCCTGTAAAGCCTACGACCTACTCAATATTTCAAATTGTCTAATCACTGACAAAAGGAAAATATCTGTAGATACTGATGATACTGTTTTTAATTAGAGAGTGAATAAAACAAGTTCTTAATCAATGAAGGTCAAAGATCAATCAATAGTAGTCAACATATTGGAGTAGGAAAGATAAAGAAACCTATGATTCAAAACAAATCAAATTTCTCGCATTATGTTTCTTTGTTTTCTTGAAACGTTAATTTCACAGTCATGTCAATTAAAAAAAAAATACTTACCCAAACATGGACTGTACATTCTTCAAGCAAAGGGGTCCATCGATGGTAAAAATCTGTCCTTCCCCATTATTTAAATCTATAAGTCGTTCCAGACAATCTAAAGAATCTGAGCTTTGGAGCTGCACAAAAAAAAAATATATATTAAAAAATTATACCTTAAAAAATTCAGGATAAGAACAGAAGACGCACTAGACTGCTTTTAAGGAAACAAATGTAAATGAGAGTACAAGTCTGAGGCCTGATTATCACAAGAAAATTAAGCTGGTTTAACTACTTGGTCTGGGGTGTGAAAAATCCACACTCCATGAGCATCAACAAATCAACTTAGTGCCTAAGGAGACAGTGTAAGGCCGAGTTATTTCCTGTCTTTCAAGAGAAGGGGATTACCTACACCGATGAGAGAAGTCCACCCAACACACAGATTGTGTCTACACCAAAGCACTACTGCGGCAAGGCTGTCATGTTTTTTTAAGGGAGAAGAGCTTTACGATAATAAAGAAAAAAGATAAGGACAATCTAATCTTTCTAATTTTTAAGGAAGCCAAAGTTTCTTCCCTACAAGAGGTTTATTCCTTACTATTGGCTCAGAAGGTTGTCCCTGTGCTGGGGTGAGTAATACATTGTTTTATCAAGTCAGACCTAGCTTCTAGCTCTTATAGTCATAGATTCAAAAGACAAAAGGGATCATCTAGTCTGACCTGTGGACTGCAGGCTATAGGACTTCCCCAAAATAATTACTAGAGCAGCACTTTTAGAAAGACATCAAATCTTGATTTAAAAATGATCCGTGATGGAGAATTCACCACTATCCTTGGTAAATTGTTCCACCATAATTTAATAATTATGCTATTAAAATGTAATTTGTCTAGCCTTAACTTCCAGCATTTGGATCATGTCATACCTTTGTCTGCTAGATTTAACAGCCTATCATCAAATATTTGTTTCCCTCTCAAGTTTTTATAAACAATGATCAATCACCTCTTTACTATTTCTTTGTTAAGATGAATAAATTCACAGATTCTCAGTCTTCAAGAGCATAGGAGAGTCTTTGAGTTGCTTAGGCTATGTCTACAGGACAGATGCTGTCACTGTAGTTAATCTACTGCTTCAAAAGATGGTAGCTAGGTTCATGATATGAGTCTTCTATTGGCCTTGCAGTGCTATACTGGGGCTTAGGTTAATTTAGCTCTCAAGGATGTGAACTTTGTACAATTAACTTACATGTTCTGCAGGTGAACGTGACACACTTATCACTAAAACCAAACACTTTATCACCAGATTGTTAGACTAGATCTTGAGAATATGTGATTCTATAAGAAAAATAATCAATCAGTATCACAAAACAGCAAGAATGTTTTCAAAGAAGTCACCTCTTCTAGATTAGCCATGCACATGATGTATAACTTGGATGGGAAAGGGAAAGGCAGTGGAAATCGACTGCTGTCATTTCGTTGGTTGCAAGTTGCTAAGGAGTGCCGCAGAGAGCCTCTGCCAATACCTAAACAGCCATCAGTTACTAGAACAACCTAGAGCAAACACACACAAAAGGATACATTAGCATTTTCATCTAAACACATTTCTTCACGTGCCCCAATCCTGCAAATAGGTACACCTGTAGCTTTACTTCTGTTAGTAGTTCCCTTGGGAGGAATAGGTCCTAAAAATCCTTCCTCACATGAGCAGTCCTTACTCACAATGAATTAGTTACATAAGGAATACTCTTGTAAGCTTTGTATGTAAATGATATATTTAAGCAATTAACCGTTACAAATTCAGTGCTCTACATCTGTAGTGTCCAACCAGTTCTGAAGCGAACTAGTCACACTTAACAGGCCAAATAGCCACACATGGCTAGCGGCTAGTGTGTTGAACACAACGGCTGTATGGAATAAACATAGCTATTAAAATTTACTGAAGTCTAGGTATACCACATCCATTGCTTCTCCCTTATCCACAAGAAATTTAATGACAAAAATAATGGGCAGGATTTATTTTTATAAGCTATCATCATGCCCTACTACTAATGAACACAGAGTAACAAAAAAAAGGATGTGTTTTGAGTTTTAAAAAGCCACACACCCTTTCAGTGCAGGAAGTACAGTGTCACAAGCATATCTAGCTGCTGGGTGACTCAAAAAGCTCAGATGAAAGAGATTAGAAGTGTGCAAGTTATTATTACCACACTTCAGAAGCTAAGGGCCAACCCAGTGCCTACTGAAGTCAACACAGGCCATAAAAAAAGAAAATATCCATCAGCTACACCAGTCCCCCAGTCCTTTTTGTAACTCCTACAGCTTCTCTCGGCCCTTTCTGGCTTTTCAGCAGCAACACTAAGGCAGTAATGTGATACGGATCCCAAAAGTTATTTATAAAAAATTCACTCTAAGGTGAAATTAAATAATTGGATTTGTTTGCCTTCCATTCACATGCAGCCATTGCTCGGGTAGAACATGGCAGCTATGGGATGTTGCCATGCACAAGAGAAGACTACTAAACCCAGCTGAAATTAAGCATTTATTCCTTCCGTTTAGATTTAGAACCCAGGTTTTCATATGAGAGAGAACATTCCTCCCTTTTCCCCAGCACACCTGTCACTTTCATACTGTCATTCGTGCTTGCGTTTGCTCTCACACTTGGAAATAACCTGCCTGTTACAAGACTTTGCACATTTCCCGGGGCCTTTCGTCCTTCAGGAACCTGATATGCCCGCACAATGGCTTATGGTGGAAGAGCTCACCCTACTGCAGATCTGATATATACTAGAGTTTCACATCTTTCTGTTTGGCTCTGATGTCTGTTCTTTTCAAGGGGTTTTTATGATGGCTGTGTTACAGTTCACGAAGCTGGAAAATCAATGAATGCAAATTGTGACCAACTAAGAACTAGCTATGAGCAGCTTGGAAAAATGAGGCCCCGATACAGGCTTTTGTCCAAGACGGAACACTGCATGAGTGGGAAACCAGGCACAAAGCTGTAATGGCCCAGTGGAAGTTGAGTGCTTCTAGCTGAGCATGGTAGATGCAAGCACAGTGGCTCAGAAGGGCTTGAGGATCAAAGTAGGGATGTTAAATTGCGAGTAATTGACTAGGGCGCCACAGGGAGCCCAGGGTCAGCTGGGGACGCCCCCGCTGACCTCAGGTTCCATGCGGCACTGCCACTTTGAAACACCCTGGGGAACCCAATGTCAGGCTCCACGCCGTGTTTCAAAGCGGCAGCTCCACACAGAGCCTGGGGTCAGTGGGGGAGTCCCCAGCTGATCCCGGGCTCCACACGGTGCTGCCGCTTTGAAACACCACGTGCAGCCTGGGGACACCCCACCTGGCCGCGGGCTGCTCGCGGCCTTTCAAAGCGGCAGCATCGCGTGAAGCACGGGATTTGGCCCCAGGCTCCACGTGGTGCTGCCGCTTTGAAGTACCTCACCTCCACCCCCACTGCCTCTTTCCGATAGAGGCCGCAAGGGGGGGAAGCGACTAGTCAACTAGCCTGTCGACTATCCGATAAGCATTTGCAAGCTGGATTCTGAGAACAGTCCTTACCTGGCAGGGAATAGCGGCACCCCATTCTTGCTGCACTACATTACAAACTCCAAGCAGTGCCGATTCTAAGCATGTTTTGTCATAATCATCCATGTTACTGAGGGCTTCCTGGAAAGAAAAAAATACATATTATCCTGCCTGGGTGGACAATTGTTATCAGGGACAATTGTTACCTGAAGTTTATTCAAAAACAGGAAGCAATTCATAAATTCCTTCCTTCCCTTCTCATTGTGCCTTTATTAGGGAAGCAGTATATTCTTTGGGATGAGCTGCAGAATTTTTAAAATATTAGGTGTATGCCCTTTTTTAGGATGTAGAAAGCAGGCCAGAAAAACAAGAGGTTTGATCTGTTAAGTATTTTTCTGTTTTTCTTTATATTAGAGCCTGAAATACTACATATTGTCTGGGGAACAAGTGAAATTCTGACTTCGCAAACAGCAAGCAAAAGCTGAGAGGGAAGGAATTCTGGTCCACAAAGGGCCCAAATCTGTTTTTTAAAAAATTCCTTGCAGGTCTCCAAGAACAGAACACTCACAACCTGAAACTATGCTGTTCCCTCAAATAAAACAAAATATCTACTCTCATTGTTCTGATCTTGCAGCTCCCGTAATACGTGTGAATTAATAATCAATTGCCTTTTGATAGTGCTGTCCATCCAAAGATCTCTAAATGCTTTACAACCATTAAAAGCTCCTTCACTGACATGAAGTAGTATTTTATTCCACAAATAGACCCAGTCAACGGAACATGGCTGATGCCTTGAAAGTGTATTTGTTGGTATCACTTTAAATAATGTAGCCTCACAACATGCCTGTAAAGTGGGTCAGTCATTTTATACCCATTTTATAGATGTGGAAACTGAGCCACAGAGAGCCTGCCCACATCACATAAAATGTGTGATGCTCCTAAACACACATAGAAGTACAAGCAACTGGGTTGGACATTTGACTGGGATAGATTTCCCTAAGGCCACCCCTCAAAAAATGAATAGCAGCAATGAGAATGTAGTAGAATTCATACAGTAAAATGAAAAAAGCAAAAAGAATTTGTTCTCCTCAATGCTTGTAACATCCTTCCACCCCAGCTCCCTGCTTATGACTCTGACTCTCACTCCGGTCCCTGTTTATCATTAGCTGGCCCCTTTACTTGAGATCTGGGTCTGGTAGGTCCTCCCCTTAGGCTGGGGGAGGGGGAGAGAGTCTTCAGATGTGGGAAGGCACAATCCCAGATTCCCAATAGGTGCCAAAAAAGCACATGTAACATAATGAAGCAACATGAAACTTGGAGTGTCTTGTCCAGTCACTGAAAAGGTTCTATACTTTTCAAAGTTACAAATTCCCCTTCAGATACATTGATGCAACTCCCAATAGGCTCAAAGGCTTTCAACATCACACACCATTTAACCCCAACCTCTTTCTCAGCTCTTATTTCCTTCTCATGTTCTCCCCACATCCATCCACTCTGCCAGTCATGCCAGGCCTGAAGCATCCTTACTCTCTTTTCCTACTGTCATCCTATTTCCATGTTACCCCAAGAACAAACCACCACCTCTAAACTGGTTCATTTGATTCAAAACCTTTCCTGGAGCTCCCTTCTGCTGTGTCACCTCTGGAGAACAGGTCAAAACACTCTCACAAAACAGGAAAGTCACAAAACCATAAGAGTGTAAACATGCCTTCCTGGGTGTGTCTAGACTACACCTCTCTGTCGACAGAGAGATGTAGATTAGGCACATCAAAATTGCTAATGAAGCCAGGATTTAAATATCCCGTGCCTCATTAGCATAAACATGGCCGCTGCTTTTTTTCAAAATGGAGTTTTTTAGAAAAAAACGGCAGTCTAGATGTGGATCTGTCAAAAATAAAGCCTTTTTCAACAGATCCTGTATTCCTCAAGATTTACAGGATCTGTTGAAAAAGGCTTTATTTTCGACAGATCCGCATCTAGACTGCGGTTTTTTTCTAAAAAACTCCGTTTCGGAAAAAAGCAGCGGCCATGTTTATGCTAATGAGGCACGGGATACAGGCAGTCCCCAGGTTACATGGATCCGACTTACATCGGATCCCTACTTACAAACGGGGTGAGGCAACCCTGCATTAGCTGCTTCCCGGCTCCCCACTTATGTAAATGAAGCCTGGGAAATTCAAATCCCGGGCTTCATTTGCAAGTGCGGTATGCCTACATTACCTTCCTAGTTCGAACTCGTAGGGTAGTGTAGACATACCCTGAGGGAAGTGAGGTGTGGGAGAATAAAACTGAGCTCTGGAGAAATGTTTAGCTAGAGTTTCCCCTACAATATGTACCAGTTCCGACTTACATACAAATTCAACTTAAGAACAAACCTACAGTCCCTATCTTGTACGTAACCCGGGGACTGCCTGTATTTAAATCCCGGCTTCATTAGCAATTTCGACGTGCTTGATTTGAATCCCTTTGTCGATGGAGGGATGCAGTCTAGACGTAGCCCCTGAGTCCCCCACCCCGAACTCATTACTGGTACCCATTAAACAACTTATTTTCATCCCTACCTTTGCCTTCCTTAGCTCTACGTTGTTGTGTGACATCTGAAGTCGGCCTGAAAACTCTTCAAGACAGGAAGAGTCTCATTACTTGTTTTTGTAAACTACCCAGCACATTTTTGGATGCTCAAGCGAATTTACAGGCGGCGCTATCACTGACTTGTCTGATTACAAAACACGACTTTTCCTGCCTTGGTTTCCCCATTTGCAAAATAGGGATACACCCACTTTATAAGGTTGTTATGAGGCTTAATTATCAGTGCAAAAAGTGATATGAGATCCTAGAATCAGAAGGCAAAGGTTTCCCTACTGCCATGAAACACTGAATGTTTTGAGGAATAGTGACTTGCTGACCCCCGTATGTTCTTTATAAGACAACGTACCTGAAGTGTGTTGTAATCTCTTGTAAAGGGAACCATCAACTCCCAAAGTGATGAGAAGACCACCAAGGCTGTAAACTCAAGTTTGTAATTGGTGGCCATGTGCTCAAACAACATGGTCAGTCCATGGATAGCCAGGTGTTTCCGCTGATACTCTTCAGAGCCCTCCACGGAAATAGGCCGGGTCATGGAGAGCGACACGTCCATCACCACCACAGTCGGCATGATGATCCTTTCTCTGCGTTACCAAGAGGGATTCACTGCAAAGGGGGAAAAGCTCTGTAGAGTGAATATCCCAGAGCACTGGAAGAGAAACACATGCCCTGGCCAATCCTACAGATTTGAGGCCTTGTCACACTGTAGCACTGGCAACGCATTAGGACTTTTACATGCTTAAAACTGTAAAGTGCCCAAGACTGGTGTATGAGAGGATGCAGGGAGTTAGAACTGGGATAAGAGGGGTAGCTGGAGGCCAAGATTAAGGGTTTGCCTATATTTTAAAATGAATTTGGATTAAAGGGTGTGAATTTAAAATGCAATGATATTCCTAAATAGCTCCATTTGTGGACTAGGGATGTAAGCAACTAGTCAACTACCCGATAAGCCTACTTGACTACTTGCTGCCCCCCCGCCCCTTGCTGCCTCTGTATCAGAGGTAGCAAGGGGTGGGAAGCAGGAGCCAGTGATGCGGGGAGCTGGCTTAAAAGCCAGTTCCCCCCAGCACTGTCTCTGTGGTGCAGGGGAGAGGGAGCAGGGGAGGCAGAAGTGCAGCAGTCTGGGACCCGGCTCGCACCAGGTCTGAACCTACCCGCCTGCTGCAGCCTGGATCCTACTGAATTTAAACTGCAAAGTCGCAGTGGGGGTAGCTTCTGGACCCAGTGCAATTCTTCCCCTTACTGACTGATCATGTAGTTGATAAAAATTGTATTGACTACACAATTAGTCAGTTACCTGCTTCTTAACATCCTTAATGTGGACGCACTTATTCTGGACCAAGAGTGCCCTGTACCAGTTTACCTTGAATCCAAACTGGGCTATGTTTGTTGTGGTTTAAGAAGTACTCCTGGATAAAGCTAGAGAAAGAGGAGGAGGAGAAGGAGAGAAGCAGAAACATCACAGAAGCACCCAGAGAAGGCAGTAAGGGTAATCAAGAAAAAAAAAAGCACTTGTAATGGGCTTTTGGGACGAGTAATGGCTGATAAGAGACTTGGAGCTGTGGGCAAAGAAACTGTCTCCTGCTGTTTGAGGCCTCCTGTGTTCAGGGAAGCAGGATGTTGTACACATACTTGTAAATACACAGGACTGCAGTAAAGCTACACCTGACTCCATCAGCAATCTCTCCTTCCAAAGGAAACAACCAGCGACACCCCAAAATCAGCATGGGTCATAGACTCACTGGTCAAACAGAGATTTAGCTAAACCGAAACAAGACACTCCTGTTCTGGAATAAAAGTGTCCACACACGAATTTACTTAGGAAGAGGTATTCCAGACAAGATATTCCTGAATAACTCCATGTGTAGACAAGAGAGGTGCACTAGGGCTCAGGCTGAGAACAGGAATGGGATAACAGGTGGTGCTGGTGGGGTAAAGATTTGTGATGTTCTGGGCTATGTATTTAAAGGATCCCAGAAATGGGATAAGCAGGAAAGGACCTGCAATTTTCTGAGGGAGATAAATGTGTGAGCAAGGAGGAAGGGGGCTAGCTAGAAAGGGAGCTAGAGCTTTGGGAGGACAGGCTTGGAACACCAGGAAGGGCAAACCTTCAGGGGTTCTGGGAATGAGGTGTGGGGTAGGAGTCAAGAAGTCCTAGAGCCGGGATACCAGGAATGGCTGAGGGAAAACAGGATTCAGGCAGATTTGGGAGGGAGGATGGCTGAAGGGGACAGGGTTGGGGAGCATTCCCAGAGCAGAGGAATCAGGATTTGAGGGAACCCAGGGAGGGCAGGTTTTGGCAGTATCCTGGGGCAGGGGGACAAGATTCAGGAATCCTGAAGCAGCAGGGGATCAGGGACGGAGAGGGACAGATTTTGGAGGTGTCCCACGTCTGTGGGGGGAAGGATTCAGCGAGAGCTGAGAGCGAGTGGTGAGGGTAAGTTTGGGGGAATCTGAGGGCTAGTAGGAGATAGGATTTTGTGTCCCAGGGAGCAGACGGAGGCTGGTGGCTGAAGGGAACCAGGTTTGGGGTAATCCCGGAGCTGGCAGGAGAGGGGGGGGGGGGCAGAGTTTCAGATTCTGAGGATGTGGTGTGGGGGCAGGGTTGAGTGGAGCTTTGGGAGCAGAGATTTGGAGGGAGTCTTGGGTTTGGAGGGAGCAGGGTTTGGTGTGAGGGTCACTGGGTAGCAGGTACAGGAATCGGGACACGGAAGGATAGGCTTGGGGGCCGGGGGGAAATCTAGGGGTCTCCAGAGGACTGGTAGAGATCGGGGGGGGGCAG